TGTTTCATGTATCATCTCAACACACCCCCCCCCCCCACCCCCTTTTTTCCCCCTCCTTGTCTTGCGTTGTAATGTGTTGGTGTGTTGTGTTACCGTGCGCCCTGAACTCTGTTGGTGCATGTATTGTGCTGGAGTGTGGTATAATGGGCTACCTTGGTTTGATTCCACAAAAGGGCGTTCTTGAGTTAAGAACATTTTGGTTTTTGCGTAGTTTTCGGCGGGCTTCCGCTCCAGGTCTAGCGGATTACCCTGGTTCGAATCCCCAGTGAAACGTTCTTGAACTTTCACCGCCTCTTTTCTTTCCTTTCCTTTTCTTTGTTGTTGTTTGTGTCTTCTTTCTTGCTTCTTTTTCAGATTGTGTGTCGAAGTTGTTGTTTTTTTTCCTTTACTAAAGAAACACAGCAAACCCCACCAGTCCACCCCCCCCCCCTTTTCAAAGCAAAACCCCATTCAGCTGGGTTTAGCACTGACAGACAAGAGTCGAAGCAGCCCGTCCCGTAAAGGATTTGATTTACACCAATGGGCGGGGAAAACGTTAACGATCAGAATGAAAGGGTAGGTGGTTGGCGGGTTCTCCTTTGTGGTTTGCTCCTCCTTTCTTATAAAAAATATGTCGTCTCTATCTCCCCCCCCCCCCTTTCCCCTTCTTTTTTGTGTTTGTTCCTCTCTTGTATCACCTGTAATCTTCGGCTCTTATATGTCTTTTTTGTGTTTGTTCCTCTCTTGTATCACCTGTAATCTTCGGCTCTTATATGACCTTAAACTATGTTGCAAGTGCCGTAAAACACCGACTAAAACAAGAATCAGAGGTCATTATCATCAGTCCTAAGGTGTGAAGACTGTTGTGTCTAACGTTGTTGCTAGGTGGCGCCATGATGTCACGCCCAGGGCCAGGGCCAGGCCCAGGCTCAGGCTGCTTGCGTAGACGCCCTGTGGCCGTTCTGAGAACCCGTGACAATCTTTTAGCACGACCACACTTCCCGGTTTCCAGCTTTTGAATACTTCTACTGTCTTTTCTTCACCCTTTTCGCTCCGGTTCTCTTTTCACAAATTTTCTATTTTACGTTTTCCACTGGTCGGTGTGTATGTTTCGTAGGCGCTTCGCTGTCGCACTCGGGAGACCCGAGATTTCCAAGTGGGAATAAATTTCCCGGTTCCCAGCTTTTGAATGCTGTCTTTCAACTCTTTAGGCATGTTTGTTTCGTTCACACTTACGCTCTCTCTT